AGATAGCTTTTGCATCATCTGAAATTTCTTTCAAGTTAATTAGCTTCAGTCCTCTGTATGAACCATCTAACAAATACATCATATTATTAAACATTGATAACTTTTGGAAGCTATGTGACTTATTACTGTGCACAATAATGTACTATCTTCCTACTATCGTGAACAAGTTCAACAAACAATACATATTGTGTATATATATTCTAAAATTAGACTTAATAATTTGAATGATAACAGTTTTTCAGGGCAGATTTTCACCTACAAAGATTGAGCCACCATTTTAAATCTATTATGTCCTAGAAATTTGGGTGACTGTATTTTCCATACAAAAGTTGTTTTGCAATAGTTAATTATTGCTTGCAATCCATTCATTCTATACAAGTATCAATTGATTTGTTATGTTTTATACATGTAAGTAAACATTCAACAAACCTGCAGTTATCAAAACTTTACATTCAGAATCTAGGATCCTCTCGGCAAGAGATTGGGCAGAAAAACCACCAAACTAAGAAATAAAACAAAAGCAAAAATAGCTTAGAATATGTAGTGATATTGTACAAGAAAGAAAAAACTCCCTGATGATTTGGACTGTGGTCATTTGTTCCAGTTTCAACTGTAAAATCCAAAATATCAACATGCTTCTATTTTTGTAAAAACATTGTATACAGTGTCTAGCTTAATGGGGCCTAGTACTACAGTAACAATAACAAATCTAGTAACCCAAATGATAATGCAGAGTATAATGGGAGTCTATTRTAAGTCTGACTTTCAAACTTTTTGTTCAGAATTAAGAAATGGCACTTACAACAATAGAATGTATAGCACCAATCCTGGCACATGCTAGCATAACTACAACAAGTTCAATTATCATTGGCATATAAATGGCAATTCTGTCACCTTTAGTAACACCTACAAACACAATAGAGAACAATATACTCACTAATTATTGATGACAAAAATTCACAGTTGATTCACAGACATAAATTGAATTATTTCACGGCAATGTCTGTCAATCTATTTTATTCATTTTATACAAGTATTGTCTTGCATGAAAAGATAGGAAAAATAAATAGTTCTTCTTATCGAAAATTAATAGTTGTTGTCAACTAGACATACATTGCATTTGGTAATTCACTGCAATATCATTTTTGACAACAAATACTGAAAGGAGATATAGTCCTTGAAATTTATTGTGTTCAATAAAAGCCATTCCAGACAACTCAGGGAGGTGGGGGGAGGGGGGCATTTTAGAAAATGGTGACAGACCCCATATCTAATTACACAATCAAACTTTAACACCACTCCTTTGTACTTTATATTACTCCCATATTTTATAGTATACATTCAAACTTTTATTCACAACAACTGCTATTTTTCAGGACCCTGAATCAGCTGTAAAAAAACTTCCATGAAAGTTAACGTTATAAGCTTACCTTTTGTTTTTAGAACATTTGAAAATTTCTTGACCTCTCTTAAGAGTTCAGAATAAGTAATCTTTTTCTGGTCATCAGGAAAATTACCCTCCCTATATTAATAAAAACAAATTGTATAAATTGTTGTAAAACTTCACATGATTTCTGTTATTGTTTAAATTTTTTCACAGCATCTTTTGTCTAAACGCATTGATCAGATCATGGAAACATCATACCACCTTTTCTTTACGTGTAACGCCACAAAGTCAAAGATGATCTGAGCTCAAAGCTGTGAAATTATCAGGTCTGATTTACATTCAATCTATTATACAAAAAAAAATAGTCAAAACAAATTTGTTTTGTCTGTCTTTTGTACATTAGAGTTTTTTTTAACTGGTAAAAACCTTTGATCAGGTGTGCAAAGTTCAGAACTAATATAACTTTACTTAAGCTTAATTCTGATTTATGAAAAAAACGATGAAAAAAATATTAAAGCTTAGTTTTTRAGGTAGAATATTAGTTGCACAGCTTTGCTCGAATGAATGAAATTGACACGTCAAGCAGATAAGTTATTCATGGCTGACCGTACGTACTCTATCGTATCAAAACTTTCCAAGCTAAACAAACTTACCAGTAAAATGCTACAGTATTTCCYAAACCATTCTCTACATTCCTATCGAGTACATTGTAACAGATATTAGTTTTAGCTCCTTCCATCCATTTAACGCGAACTCCCTCATCGATGTCAAAGTTGTAGCTCAAAAAGCTTTCTGGTTTTGGCGGGACGTGCCAATGAAAGTCCTTTGCAATGTCGCCCCAAAATCCTGCTGGATCCTCTAGTGAACGCTTATGCATATCACGATAAGTCTCCATGCTTGAGACATGAGCTACWTTCTTTATTTCCTCGGTAGGGTAAAACCACCCCACCAATTCTTTTTCATGTTCTGAAGTTGCAGTCGCCATTTTGAAGTCCATACGGGCAAAACCTTTGTCTATATCGCACCAGGGGAGGGGTAATAAGGGCAACATTATATTACCCTGGTAGGGTGGGTAAGAAAAGACATTGAACATGAACCATGAACAAAATTAAAGTGCTTCAGGAAAAATTTCGTGGACAAAAAAAAAACAAACAAACAAACAAACAAAAAACGAACGATATGAATAAAGTTTGCGAAGCAAAATCTATTATTCTATTATAGATTTCGGGATGTGACGTCACGATCTGAGTTTCAATTTTTTTCTTTTTTTTATATTGTTTGATCGGTGCAGTTTTGTGCAATTTCTTCCGAAATGTTTCAAGAATATAATGAATGCATTTTGAAAGTGTTTCAAGAATATAATGAATGCAGTTTGACAGTGTAGTAATCAAAACAGGTTGCTTTTTGACAAACTTTCACTTTCCTAGCCAGTGCCCATTTATAACGCGGAAATAGTAGAGCTAACCCCTTGTGTATATTTTCCGACCTTGATTATTTAAAATTGTTGCAATCCCTTCCGTGCTGGAAACAACCACAAAAAATAACCTACCTCTCTACCAAAGCCACAACTCGTGCGCGCAGCCGGAAATCTTTGAGACTCTTTATTACTGAAAGACGATGCTTGTAGACGCGAAATTTTCAATGTTTTTTTTTTTCAAAAATTTCCTTTCCTCTCACAAGCAATAAGTGTTTCACAGTTCATAAAATCGTTTCACATAACCAGGGGAATAAATAGTTAGTTGACTAGCTTTAGCATGCAGACCACATTTTTTTTTTCTTTGTTCTGGGTAAATCTTAACTATACGCTCTTAGAGCGCTTACTCGGTCTACATCATAGACGTTATGTGGAAAATGATGTCAAATTTTCTGATTAAATTCTTYCAAACTTGTTTGCATGCCAAAGCTAGACAAACCAACCCTGGCAAGGKTCTAAAATTAGACATTGCATCACATCCCACAATAGTTACATTTTCAATTCTTTATATTCTTATTCTAGATTGCAGGCACAGAGAAAGGAAGGGCGTTGAAAATCTTGGGAGCAGGAGAAGGTGACACRAGGACCATTAAGTTCAGAGAGAACAATGGAAAAAGAAAAACAATAGTCAATTGTTATAATTTTGACTTCATTTCTTTTATTTGATTGATTGTTGTATGATGGATTTAAATCATTTGGCATTAACAATAATTACAGCAACGGAGTGCACTGCTACACTACATAACATTGAAAAATATAAATACAAAAAACTTACAAAATAAATATACAAAAAACAAAAAATATCTTATTAACAAATATCAGCCCAATTGCATCAGATTTATGAGGGTGTTTTTCCTCAGTGACTTAGTTCCCATGATTTTACTAGATTTCTGGATGTTAACTGATTTTATTTACATTTTGGAAATATTTGATYATTGGACAAAAACACAAGCATGAGCTTTCTGGGTCAAGTGTAATCTCTTTTCACCTGTCCAAATGTCTATACTTTTGAGCAAAATCACCCTAAATATTAGTAATTATGATGTAATGTTCTCACCAGCCACTTAAGTTTTTCACATGATTATGTGCAAAAAGAGTTTCAACAGCAGTGTGTAATATTGCTTTTGCTCTCTAAACTGATGCAAAGTGGGCCTCAACATTAATTTATTTGAGAAATATAGAAAATGCTGCAACACTACATTGAGTAGAAAACCATCAYAAAAGCTAGTACAATATTATTATTTCTGCAAACATTTTTAGTATTACTCAAATAAATCTCTTTTAAAGTGCTTTCAATCTACAACAAATGCCTAGTTGTAAAAAATGTCCATGTTGGACAAAAGAGTTGTAGATTGCAAGCACATAATTTATGATTGGTATATTATTACCAATCACGCAGAATTATTATCCTGCGGCAATTGAAAAATCCTACCTAGAGCTATTTTGATTGAATTGCAGAGTTTAGTCTTTTCAAATGTGAAAAGAATAAGACAAAGTGCTGTAGAAAATTTCACAAAATGTAAAGTGATTGAAGTGCTATCAAGTCTGTTAAATTCAATGACATGGTTTTAAGTATTTTGATGACAAAATACTATCAAAAACGACTTCACAAGAAACTCAACTTAACAATGCTATGCCTTCTAAGTTAGACTTGAAATACAACACCGTTTATCAATCAAGAAAAAAAAGTGTTGGATAACAAATTTTAGTCTTTTTTTAGCTGTATAACCATCAAATTGCATAGCTGTTAAGTTCAGATCAAAAACAAATTTAACAATAACTTAATAATTCAATTGTGCTAATATTTCAAAAGAAAGGATTTCATAACATGTTGAGAAGATATTCCACAATTCTCACTTCTGAATGAAGCTTTGATGAAGTTAAGAAATTGTGAGTTCTAATTGGCCAAMAAAATGTTTCATAAAACAGTGAAGATAAAATCTAGTCAAAAGATCAAAAAATGTTCYTGGTACCAAAGTCAAATCATATTTGTCCAAAGTACAAGAATGCTTAGAATGAGATAAAGAAAATCACTTTTTATGTTACACTTATTGCACTGTTAGCAAACTATTTTTACCAACATATGGTGTCATTTCTTTTCCTGTACAASGTCAACATTAAAATCCCTAAAGCATAAAAGTCTTCGCTTTYGATTCAAAAATTGTCTGTATTTACAATAAGTTATACATGAAACAAGATTGCAACAAGACACAAATATAGCTAAGCTTTGCGAACATGTATGTGATTATAATATTGCTTTAAAAATCATTTAATGCAACTCCTAATGTTACATCTTAATATTCAACAGTTAGCAAAATGGATCACAAGAGTTGTGTAAAAAGTWGGATGACTTCAAGGAAGGCAGTTGTGAGTAGTTGTTTGTTTTTTCAAGTTAGAAAAGGTTACCATAACTGTGGAGAACTTCCCTTGTCTGGCTGTGGTGCTACGCCTGACCTATAACCATAAAAAGAGCAGTTAATATCAGAGATATCTTTGACAGAAGAGTTGACAAGACATATTTGTCATATCATAACCAAAACACCCTCTCAACATRAAAAGATTACCAAAAGTAACAATAGTAACATAAATCTATGTTTTTATAAATGAACAGCTTGACACTCATTAATGCTGTGGTCCATTTTCCACTCATTGTGCAATAATTACAGCCATAACCACTTCAGTGCATAAGAAAACGTTTCCAAAAATCAACAATATTATGAGGTTGAAATGATGCAAACTTTAACTATAAATTACCTTTGAAAGCTCTTGTAGGAAGGAGATGCCATGTTGATACACAGTGGAACTGATGTCCTTTGCTTTTCCAAAACAAACTTATAAATAGAGTCTACGGAAAAGCAACAGTCTGGTTAGATATGCCAGTTTAAACAATACACTCCYGATTCAACCTTACCTTTAACCTTGGTAATGGAATTAAGGTTGAGTTCATAGCTATCATCAAACAACTTGGGATTAGAAGGTTCAAAGTCTGAAAATAAATATGACGAGATGAAATAGATTTAACAAAATGTAAATGAATCTACAATCAAAGAATAATGATATTATAATCATGAAATATGGCTTTTATTAAGGCATCTTCTGCTGGCCAACAAGAAAACTTCACAAGAGCACAAAACATGGACTTTGACTAATATAAAACAAATTACTTTTGTGTGCTTCAACCAGCTTTCATAAAATATGCTGTGGGGATATGCATAGCAACAGCGAAGGACTTTCTATTTTTTCACCAATGTTTTGGATATTCTGCATGCTTCATTAAATAATAGAAAACTCCTCCCATTCTCCCTTCGACAACAGAACACACTGGAAAGTGAAAGAATGCATGAAAGAAAAGATAGGAGAAACCTGAGCTAAAAGCAAGGTTAAGAAACATGAATGTGAAGAGGCCTATGGGRATATAACAAAATAGTTTATTTCATAATAATGACGAGTTTAGTAAGTGAACAATAATTATATCATAACTGCCATTACTTACCGGATACGTACTGACGCCCACCAGGCATATTGTGACAGCACTTACACATACAGGTATGGAAACGCAATCGTCCTTCATCTAAGTATGGATGGGATAGTGCATCTGTACAGGAAATTCTTTTACTCTGTGAAAACAAAACACTTTCTACTTAGTTTCTGTCATTCTGCTTCATCGTTTTGTAAGCTACACTACAATAATAACATAATAATGGTAAAAAATATAAGAAACCTGCATTTAAATACAGTTTGTACAATACAGAAAGAAGTAAAGTTCTAAAGAAATGGGCCAYCATTCAAAGTCTTTGCTATCTGAAGAAAAARCATAACTTACTGGATCAAACACAAGCATTCTACACAGTAAATGGACAGCTTCGTGGGTAGCTTGGTTAGACAAGTTATACAGAGTGGCTAGTGCWGGCTGAAAWGTTCAAACAAAAACAGATTAGTAATTAGTCTGGTTGCCAGGRATATTATACTGGATGACATTTAGCCCTCTTGGGTTGCTATAACTATATTAGCAACATCRCATTTGAGGTTTACATGGAGAATATTAGATAATGATTTGGGAATAAAATACATTTTGTCAAATAGCAATCTTACTTTTGGATATTTGGGATATAGAATTTCTCTTAGATAAAGAATCTCTCTTAGAAACTCATAGAAAACAAGGACATWTTGAGAGTTGTGAATTGCTCTCTGGTTGCTAGGGTTWAAAGTGTTGTTATGCTTTGTTTTCATGGGTTATTTRGTTGATTGTTGTTCATTTTCATATGTATGGTACACTCTAATGTCCTCACATGTTTGTCTGACAATACTTACTGCCTTGTGAGGTCTTTGTAGGATATACTTTGTTGCTCCATCACTTGCACCAGCTTTAGCCAGATCTTCTAAGCTTGGTGTTCCCAACAGATCCATAATAAGATTTAGCTACAAAAAACATATTATTCCACATTAACTATTACCCTTTCCAGTTAATAAAAACAAGTGACAATTTGGTTCATTAGGAAATGGATTTAAACATATCATTTATACCTGCTGAACAGGACTATCTGCTTGGAACAAAATCTTTCTGCTCAAAAGCTCAGCAAAAATACATCCTACAGACCACAAGTCAACTGAAAAGAAAAGTTTAAAAAGTGCTTGATTAGTCTWCAAATGTAACTGTCCTGTTTACTAAGCCCTTGGGATACTGTCATCCCTACACCRATTCTCAATTCTTCATCTATCTTTCATTGGTCCTATTCAATTCTCAATTGTAATTCGTCCACTCAATTCCTGTCTCCCACTTTCTTTATCCAGCCATTCCTTCTCTGACTTCATTCCTTCAGTCCTTGACATCTACGTCTATTCATTTCTTTGAATCACTTTTGTCCAGGCTGTACTTACCTCCTTGGGTATAATGTGTTGCTCCAGCCAGTAGCTCAGGTGCTCTGTAATACTGAGTAACAACCTACAAAGATTATGATTGTCAATTGATTAAACATTATCAATGCATCATGAGTCAARATATCGAGCTAAAAGTATAACTGCTTTGAATTAAATAATAATCAAGYGATGGAAATCACAATTAACAATGTATAAAATAGAAAATACATCTCTCCAACGATGCATTTATTGATTATAGCTTTCACACGACTGTTCGTTGACTTTCTCTCCAAAAGTTAAACTTTGTATWGTCTATTTTTTACAGATGTATAGTGTTTATAATAAGAGTTGTTTTATAGTCAATTTTCTTCTCCTGTTTTATCATATCTTTATCATTGCATTATTATCATCAGGCCCTGCTCTGGACAAACAGAATGTTTTTGATGTGACATTGTWGTGTTACATGGCAACTCAAAAGTTGATTCTATCGGACCTATTTATTGAAAATTCAAAAGTCATAAAATAAATAGCTTACCTCCTGTGTCATTATAATGCTCTCATTAGGTTCCTCCATCCTTGCCAGACCAAAATCACATATCTAAACACAAAAATTAAAAATAAATTAACTTGACTATCTTTTGTCTTGCATTAAATCCRYTTGGATTGTTCAATTAGCTATTTCAAAACGTCTGTCATGGAGAAGATGGTTGCTGATCRATGAGAGGTGAGCGCGCAAACTGAGAATATTTACATGTACTTCATTTAATGCAAAGTAACTGCTAYTTTAGAAAGGAAATTATTTCTTTCATTTCAAACATCCATCAGCTCCTACCCTTTGGGCTGTATAATTGCCAAGAAACATTCACCAATCTCTCAAACATCATTTTTTGACATAGCTCTATGCTCATTATTAAGGCAATTTTTATCCACCAGTAAACGTCCCATTATTATTCCTTGAATTTTACCTTCAACAGACAATTGCTATTAACAAGCAAGTTTCCAGGCTTGATGTCACGATGTAATATCCCTGAYGAATGCAAATACTTTAATCCTGGAATAAGAAGGAGAACATGGTTATTATTAGGACAAAAAATTAGTATCAGAAACAGTCACAACCATTCAATTTATGATTTTTAACATTCAATGTCACTTTTACAATTGTAAAAAAAGATCTGCTATTATAGCTTTAAAGAAATTTTTGGCTTGAAATAGTCCAAATCAGCTGTTGCTATTGTTCAAGATTGTATGGCTAGCAGCATAAAACACAATCAAATCAGTCAACCATATAGGACAAGCTATTTTAAATTTTACAAATATTTCACCCTTTAAAACAGTGTTAATCTATATTTAGAACAGTTCCAACTTCAACAAAAATTATTCATGAATGTTATCAGTTACATGTGTGGTAAGAGGAATGAATATCATAAATGTTATTAAATATGACTTTTTCTAGATTCATGCCTTGAAAAGAAATGTTTTGAGAATTACACAAAACTTCCATATAAAATAATATAATGTCATAATCCCACTGGTAAAAACTAATTTGAACTTGATGATATGAAAACTAAAATGCTCTTTATGGAACAGTTTTTTCATCTATTCCAYACCAAGAGAATATGACCAATCAGAAAAGCTTTAATTGTATGTTCTGTGGTAATCAACAGGCACTTTACACAGGGCATTGTATGGCATATAAAGTAGAACACAGTTTTACAGAAAAGGTGATATTTTGTATGCTAAAAAAGTGCAGGTTACTCAAAGGGATAATAAAGTATATATACATACACATTGAAACCACTTTATAGCAAAGCCAAATGGAATTTTACACATAACATTCAATGGTTTAATATCTTACCTCGAAGAATTTGATAAAGAAAGACTTTAACATGATCAGCAGTAAGTGGCTGTGGAGAAACTATGATTTTATGAAGATCTGACTGCATCAATTCAGATACAACGTAACTATGCCAAAGTTAAGAACTATAACCACAAAATACATGAAWTTATGTTAATTTCATTCAAAGTCCAAGGTGGTAGGAATCCTAAGAACTTCAAAAATTCACTGTTTTTCTCACTGCTTCCTCTGTTAGGCGTATTTGTTGTGGAGAGAACTTTCCAAACTGAACACAATTTTAYGTAATAAGAGATAAGATTAATTTATTATTGTATCAAATAAACATGTTGTCTGGAATCTGAGTATTTCAGATTGAGTGAGGAGTTAGAAGTAGGTTTTCCTTGCCAGGTACAATGACCAAAGACCATTAAAATGGATATATGATGGCTAACATTTATAACTTCAGCTACAGTTCTTGAACTGATGGTGAAAAAAAACATTCATTTTGTACAGCAAAAAGTGTTTATATGATGACATTTGGGTTTTTTATCATTTACTAGAAAGGATCAATAGCCTACAAGTATTAGAAAGGGAGATAACATTTTGTTGTTCAAGGCAAATCAGACCAGCTGCAGAACATGCTAGCTGGCAAGAAGTGTTTCTTTGACAACAGTCACACAAAGAATCTGTCACAAACCAATGTGTCTCCGAAATTGAATAAATTTTATTACCAGAAATGAATACTATACCATTTATCTTAGTGGAATAAACATCGATAAAAAACCAACGAACATTTCCGTGAGAGATTCGAAAGAAATGGCGAACTTTGCTTCAAGAAGCTGTCACCAAGGCCGGAAACGTTCCAAGGAATAGGAAACGCACGTAGGCCACAAAAATAATCCCTTATCTTTAATTTTAAGTATTGAGAAAATTCAAGAGTCAATCACTTTCTTCACAAAGCTTGTTTCAGTGCGATGGTTTTGTTTAGTTGCTTTCTTGTGAAGATAATGACTACATATTCTACAGTTTATGCAAATGAAGTTGAAACGACAACTTCTATTCAACAGGTGCCCGTTGAAAGAAAAACCTTGTTTTGTATGCAAAATAGTAAATAGATAAAAAACCATCGTTTTCTGTCATTCGAGACGAAGGATAAAGCGAATTTTTCAMCTCCCAAGCAAAACCACAACTATGCTTTGCTTTATGGCCACTGCTACTCAGATTCACTCCAGCAGCGACAGCTTCAATAATGCGAGAGCGACTCTTGAGTCCACAGCAACGGAATATAAGCAAAACTGAATACCCAAACGATTTCCTGTCTCTAAAAAGTATAGAAAACCCGACCAACTCAACACTAAACGAAAACATCGCGGTTCAAGGAATTCCAAGAGGGTCGCCATTTTCGACAGCTCGCCCCTCCTATATATTGATGTAGCGAGAATCTGTATTTCTGTCACGCTAATAAAAGCTACAATTCTTACWTTCTAAACCCCATAATTTTAAGGATACATCTCGTTAAATAGATCAACATGACCAGGATGAACTATATCCACCGCTGATAGAACCTAGGAAGTGATAAGAAGGAAGATATCAGTGATGCGCGATGGCTGTGTCATTGCAAAACCCCCCACACTCTCAAGTAATTACAGCACAACAAATTGTCGGAACGAAAGTTTGTATACAAGAATGGCTTCATACGTTATCATGTTTAAAAGTGCATAGCATTCGAAGTTCACGATATGCTCTTCTACAGGATGTTATACTTTCAAACACTTTCGGTATTTTCTTCAAGGCTACCCTCTTGCCATTACGAGGATCTGTCACAGACCTAGCGGAGGAAACAAATGTTTAGGACGCCATGATTCAAATGAGAACAAATTTACCATCGACAGCAAAATACTCACCACACAACGCCAAAAGCACCATATCCGATCGGTCTATCAGGGTGGTTTGCCTGAGACTGCATCTGAGGAGCATAATGTCTGTTGTGGAAGACGGGAGTTCGTTGAGAGTGAGTTGTAGGAAGAGCCATAAACCCACCACTACATCGACTCTTGCACAAAGCCATCCAGCACTAAACCCTATCCATACTTGAAAAAATCTTTAACACTTAGTCAACGATGTCATGATACTTCACAGTTGCATAGTGAGCAACTTGAGAGACAAGGAAGAGAGTAAAGAGTAGGTAGTCGTATACTGAGTCCGACTATCAAACTTCCATGACCGCCGGCCCCTCTCTCTTGTTCACCTACGAACTTTGGAACAACGCACATGTGGCAGCGCCTTTACTGCGCTTGCGTCACGCAATATACATATGCAAAGCACCATGGGTAGCATCTTGACATGTCACGAAATTTCCAGTAGARGCTAAATATTGATCACGCAAAACACGAAAACGAAAAATAGACMATTTTCTTTAAARAAGTCTATCCATAAATACTTTTAAGAGAGTTATATTTCCATCCTTTAATGAAAATTTTCGCTATTTCGCTTCAACGCCTCTTTTTTAAGGGAACTTTTTGGGTGACGTCGATTACTTGATATGTGCATGTAGCCTYTAGGCACTTTAAAATTTATGTCATTTTACCAAATTGAGAAAAGTCACGCGCGAACTGCGTCATTGTCATTGATTTGTGGCCATAAATTAAAGACGTAGAAATAGAAGTTAGGGTTCAATATTTCGGAGAAACGTCAATATTGCGAAAKATTTTAGCATACTAAGTTTCCTACATTCGACGTTTTCAAAATAAATTTGATCCAATTCCAAGTTATAGAACTTTTTTCAAAGAGAAAAGAGAGAAGCCAAYGGTTCAATATTGCGGAGATGTTAGATAAAAAAGATAAATAGAATTTCGACTAAATGAAGAGGAAAAAGAAAGAACTGATAAAAAGATGAGAACAGAGTGATTGAAATGTAGGCTATAGAAATAAAACCAAAATAAAATAGCATTGACTTTCAAAATTATAATTTTATGCAGTAAAACAGCAGTATATTACCAACTGGAAGACTGAAAGTTTGCGTGGTGAATATTAAGAGTTAAAATTATATTAAGCACTCGAAATTAATAGAAAGTTCGACATTTCGTAACGCTTCAAGTCAAGGTGACGAGCCATGCACATGACGCGTGACCGCATTTCTTCACCTGTTGCCATGGTGCATTCGACCGGACGTCAWTTTGCAATTATTTTTAGGTATACAAAATACAAAGTACTCGATATTTTATCAGATCAGTGGCGATCAATTGATCATTTTCTTCCCAGAGCACATGAAAAATATTGCTCTTTTTCACAATTTGTAAGTTTCTATAAAGTTTATGATTCGCTCTTTTTGTTCAGTTCCAAAGTTGACAGTAGCGAAAGTTMAGTAGCCAGACAATAGATCAACGAAGCGTGGCGAACTTATTAGTAGGGATGTGGAAAATGAAATTTCTGAAATGAAGCCGTCTGCTTTAGTTTTTCTTAGAAAGGTCCCATTCAGATTTATTTTTTTCTTTTATTTCTAGCCTATATCAGTTTTGAATCCCAAAAAAATGTGCGGGTTGTCTGTCCACGCTAATCACCACCCTAGGTCCACCCCGTTGTGTGTTTTTGTTTGTTTGTTTGTCGGTTGGTTTTTTGTCTACTTTCGGCTGTTCAAATTCATACATCATCTCCTTGATTTCAGTAGTATTGATGTAATTTGAAATAACGTGAAATTAAAGAATACTTAAAATAATGGCCGCCGGGAACATTGTTTGTATGACTTTTGAAAAGACCACATGATGAAGATGATGAAGATGATGACTGCAAAAATTTCACTATTGCATTCCATTCGAAAGAAATCTTTTTTTATGAATAGATTTGCTCTCTAAACTTCAAAGCGCGCTTCCGATCATGTCAGCTATCAATCTGTCTTGGCATAAATCAGTTTCGATACCGTTTTATTTCTACAATACCCGTGGAYCAAGACATGCAGTCTTTTTATGATCCATGACATAACACATGCTGTGTTTTGGTTAGTAAACCCGCTCTTAACACACAGAACAGAAAGGCAAATAACACATTTATAATCAATTTTTTGAAAAAGCTTTGAGTGCCTAGACTACCGAATAAGAAATTAAAGAAAATGCGCGCAAATTAAGCTCCTTCTGACAAATTGATGATGGGACCAGAATGTGACCCACACGACTAATAACGTCACGTGAAACGTCTTGAGATCTAAGAATACTTTTGGGTATTGAAAGTAAACTTAACTGGAATTTACAATCCCATATAAAATCTTGCTAGCTGTTTGTTTATCTGGCGCCACGCAATATTTATGTATCATCGATTCTYACGGAAGAGATGGCAATTGAGTATTATTTCAAGTACACGCGCAAACTGCAATGAAACTTTTCTTGAACTCTGCTGCATGCTTGCGTATCTGGCACGTACTATTTTGTTATGCGTTACGACGTGCGCGTGTTATGTATCATTGATTCTCACGGCATAGATGGCAATCGTGTATTATTTCAAGTACTATACGCGCAAAACATCTTTTTGAACTCTGCTTGCGTATCTGGCACGTACTGATTTAGTCATGCGTCACGACATATACGCTCGCTATGTATCATTGATCCTCACATAAGTAAGAGATGATAATCGCGTAAGTACGTTCGACTAGCGACCGTATTAATTACAAGATAGCTGTTGTATCCGTAAGAGAAATGAATCCTTGTCTTWCTCTTTAACTTACTTTGTGAGCAATACTGTTTATTGAAACTACAGTAATTCTCAAAATTTKTTTTGAAAAGTGATTTAGAACTTAGTTCATTGACGTCAATAAAAAGATCAACTGATGATGCGATGACTGGAAAACCCCGCTGAAACAAAGATGGAAAAAATAGCTTGTTAATATATTATCGCYAGTACTTTTAAATGGGAGATGAATTTTTTGCCGCGGTTTTGGAAACAATCGAATTCCAAGATAAATTCTATATAACAATAAGAGATGTACAACATATTGCAAAAATAACTTCATCACCCAAATTCAGTACAGGGCAGCGTTTATTGACCAGGAACCTCGCATGTTCGTAGAAATTCTTTCCGTGCGGATAATGCTATTACYACAGACGAMSAGGCTACACATKCGTGCCGGATTGTCGTGACTAAATGGCTARTGTGTAGTTATGAACTGTTAATCTGGACCGGGCGCGGTCTATCGCTCGGTTGTGCTTCGTTTATTCAGCTGTAAGAAAAATGATTAGAAACATGCTTTTGAATCAACAAGGTCTTGATTTGCTACATTTTGAATAAATCAGTGTTTTACGTGCGTGCACAAGTGTTTACAATATCACATCTGACCAATCTCTTACACACACAACTGTCAATCAGTGACATTGCTTAGTAGTGATGGGCGGGAACATTGGCCTACTTTGCGTGCAAAGATTTCTGTACGCGTTTTCAAAGTGTATCATGTTTCGTTTTCTATCAGAATTCATTCTGMTGAAAATTTGAATGAGTTGCAATCTGCCGTGAAATTRTTTTTAAAAAAATTCGAAGTTTCTTTTTAAGAGTGAATGGCTGTTAGAACATACAACATACATACATACATACAACGGTAACCATTAACGTCTTTTTGAATTAACTTGAAAGGGAAGCCCCCTCCAACACCATCCCCCCACCCCGTGACCCGCACACTCATACAAAACCCCCCCACCCCATGACCCGCACACTCATACAAAACGGGGGTAGGTTTGACTGCACTAGTCACGTTTTCACCCTTCAGAAATTCCCGAAAGAAAGACATATACTCTTTAACACCATTCAATATTTTAATAAATTATGACAAATTTACTTCTCATTTTGGACAAGGAACAATGAATTACGGACACTTGCAGACATGCAAATGTGAATACGAATACGGTATAGATAGGGCTTATCAATTGGTTTTCATGGCCTCGTCGAACAAGACTGTTCGATTACACAGTGCAGTGCTCTGATTCGCTCAAAATAATTGAGTTACAGTGTAAAAGGTTCATAATAAATGAAGAGTATTTTGCAGGTTTATGACAATGACTTTTAACTGTTAATAAGTAGGGTTGATAACTCTTCTTGTCAAATAGACTGATGCCCAAAACCGTGAAATAAATATTAGATTTAAGAGTGTTTTTCATAAACCCATGAAATACACTTATATCGTTCTACTCATTTTGATGTCTTTCTTTAAAATGAAGTCGTTTAAACCACAATTTGTCTATTTTAAGTGTGGTAGTCAAATGGACACAATTCAAAAAGAAAACAAATCAATTGGAGCGTACTAAGGTGTTTTAGTGTAATATCCATTTCAAGGGATTTTTGACTTTACTCTATTATTGCACTTTGACTATTACACCTGTTTTTTAGGTTTATGAAAACTACTCTAGGCCAATGTAAGGTTAACAAGCCCGTGAAACGATGTCTAACTTAAGTGGAATAAAGTTGTCCCCACGAAAGATTAAAAACGTTCAAGATTAATTATATTTCACGGGTTTATTCTGCACCATAGTAGTCATACCTGTCATCTAAGGATTTCTTTTGTGTTCATTTGACTATTTTATTTTGACGGTTAGACTGACATTGTTTCACGGGTTTACTGCACTCGCACAAACCGATTGTACAAGATATTCAGTCAAAGATGTCAAAGAGTTAGAACTTTAAAATGCACCGCTAACATCAGAAGTGCCGCCGATCACGAAATCAACATCGTTGGGATATCAGTCACGAAATGAAATCCTTTGGAAGCAGAACTCAAGTGAAGTCATCAAACCCGTGAAACAAAAATGGACTAAAAAATGTGATAGTCAAATAAACACAAAAGAAAACAATGAATTTAGAGCGTACTAAGGTGTATTAATGTCATATCTATTTCACGGTTTTTTGATTTCACTCTACTATTGACTAGTTTCAAGCACTGCACGAGTTATTAGTCTTAATTGTATTCTACGGATTGAGTGCCTGTTACAATTACACATTTCATTTCACACATACATGAATTCTTTTTGTACATTTTTTGTTCTTTTTACATATTCTCGTCGAACTTTTAAATCAATGAATAGACACGTTTGTCTCTTATATACAACATACATCGAGTACAGGGGAACGTACAAGAAATCCAACACATAAGGTACTCGCGTCACTGCTAACACAATTGATCGTGGGCGCAATGTTTTCACTTTGACTTATCATTGAAAAGTGCGTCCACAACCATATGTAACAATAAAGCGATACCAAAGAACAGGAAAAGTACGACACGAGGAACGAACAACTCTATTTACATGGTCTTTCTACAAGATTACGATGTGCACAAGGCTTGTTGTCTTTCTAAGTCTTCAACGGACATGATTTTTTTGCTGCCAATCTCTGTTGGAATCTTGGGCGTGGTGGACTGGATGCCCCTTAAAACATCATCGCTGAACCACTTGGATAAAGCGTTGTCGTTGCTGGGAGACTGYCTGGCGCTGTTATCAGGTGATGGCATATTGGGAACTGAAAATATAAATCATATTTGATTTGTTCATGATGATTGTCCAAACTTGATGCAAATACTACGATTGTCTGACAAGTTGAATGGTTTAAATTCTTAAAATTCAAGTACAGGCGGGGATAACCTCGAATCTATGTGTAAATTGATTGTCATTCTATTGTTTTTATTGTTATCCTAGGAAGGAGTCTATTTCCACTTGTACTAGAATTTTTAGTCAGAACGCGGTTCGCCTGCGCAGAACAAAAATTGCAGGGGATAGTTTTGGATCAAATATAGGTTGCTAAGTTAGATAAAATATCTCAAAAATACTGAGTGACTTCACGAACATTAAACTAGAATTTTCAATGAAGAAAACATCGCAAATAATWAACATAACTCCMACCTTTTGCTTGCTGGTGAACAAAGCCCGGGTGTGGTCTTTGCATTGGGAAATTCCCATGAGAGGTCATCATTTGAGGATATCCAGGATGTCCATGTAAAGGGGTGTGTCCATGTCGATACATCATGGGGTGACGTTGCGGCATCATTTGCATAAGTGAAGTTGGCGATTGCAAAGGCAACCCAGATGGCGTTCGTGTGGGTGGCATCATTCTAAAGTTCCCAGGTTGTAATGATTGCGAGGAGAGCATTCCTGGATGATGAAAGTGTGGCTTGCCATGATGCATGTTGGGTACAGGGAAGGGGGTACGAGGCATTCCCGGCGTTCCAAGGATTGATTGAGAATGTCCCCCCATCATGGCTAATGGTGTTTGTCTTGGTCTGCCCATGTTGGCTAAATATTGTACGTTTTCTCTTCGCATCTGTTGTTGTTGTTGTTGCTGTTGCTGTTGTTGATGGTGTATACTGTGTGACAATGGCATTGTTTGCTCAAAGTCTCGTTTGCTATGACTCATCATCATTTCATTGCCAAAATGTGWGTTTTTATTGTAGCTACTTGGARGTTTGTCAACYATGTTTGGCGGCCTTCCAGGCAGTRYACCCTCAGAAGTCTTGATAAGTTTAATCGGTTTTTCATTGGCCGCTTCTCTTACTCGTGCCTCTAGATTAACCAACAAYTGACGGTCTGTTTGAGGGTGTCGTTGTGGAGTTACAGGTGCTGAGCTTGGAAGTGGATCTTTTCTGCCTTCTGCTGGGCGAACTTGAGGGGACTGAGGCTCAGAATGGATGCCTGATCTGTGAGGCGACACTGAATGTGGTGATGTCCCCTGGTAAGGCTTGAATGCTGTTGGTTTTAGCAACAATTGATCATCTTTTGAAAGCGCCATTCCYCGTTTTGAGTCAGGTGAAGTGAAGCCTGCTGGAACAGTGTGCCTCCCTATTTGTTCAATAACTGGACCGTTCATCTTCATGCTCTCGAAACTGATATTTGAAGATTCTTTTGGTCCATTTTCTCCATCAGCTTTAGACTTCGGCGTCATCTGATCTTTTTTGATTTTCTGTAGCACAGAAGTAGGCATGAAACCAAGATCTTTCAATGCAGCTGACTGCGTCTTAGGTGTCACTTTAGGTTTAGTAATAGGTGCAGATCTTGGAGTTTGTTTCTGGTTTTGGTAAACAGGCTTGGGTGTCTCATTGGGCAACTCAAATCTGGGTTTATCTGGAACTTGGTACATCATGTGGTTCGTTCTGTTGTGAATGTAAGGAGGGTGGCCAGRAGATGGGCTCATAAATGCATCTGGCGTCAAGAGTGGCGAGAATGGTTTCTGTTGGTACATTGATTGTATTGGCGATGGAGATCTTCGTAGTTTTTCTGTAACATTTAAAAGTTTACATAAGTTTAGTACATTTATATGCATCAAGTCTCTGTACTTTACAACAAAGGATCAAAATACAAAACAAGTGACAGAAAAGATGAATCTGTTTTAGTGGAATGAAAAAAAATCAAACTAAAATCAAAATTTCAGTTAAACAGGTCACGCCTTTGTATGAACAGATGTTTCTTGAACTAAAAGATGGGTTCAGATGAATGGAATCCCTATACATTTGCCATCTTAACTCTTGCAGGGCCCTTAGTACTTGTTTTTTTTCCTATTGTTTTCAATTCACTTCTGGGTTTCATTGTAAGCATCTATCTCCTTAGGATCGTTATGTAGACTAGATTCTCTCTTATTCAGCCATGGCTGAAACTGGTGTATTCTAGCTTAGTATCTCTTCTAGTATCTCTACTATCTCTTCAATGTAGGGTGCAATAGCACTAATAGACACTAACCTACAGACTTGTAAAGCGGTGTTTCCAGAGGAGAGTAAGATCTGTTCATCTGAGGTACAACCTGTGGTGGTGAAGGACTTTGTTGTTTCTGTATAATATGGTGTAAGAATTCCACAGGTGATGTGGATCTGTCAAGATCTTTCAGTGGAGATGGGCTACGGCGGGGTGTCTTTGTCTTTGGTGATGGGGGTCTGGGTAGGAGATGACTTGGTAGACCTGGTATCTACAAAATATACACTGTTTGTTAGATACAAACTGACAGGGTGAAGGTATTGTCTACAAGATGTCTGAAAACTAAMTCCTATAWTTCTAAAGCAAAACAATCAATTAGTCAATCAATCTGTCAATCAATACAATATTTCAATTACTTATCATTTTTCAGTTGATTAATCATTGAATTTATCAATCWATTATTCAACCAATCAATCAATCAATCAATAATTCCATCAAGCAACCAATCTATCTATCAACAAATTTTTCATGCATATATTACCACCATTTTTCAATCCTTAATGCAGTCAATTAACTCAATCAAACATAAATCGTTGCTTCAACAAACTGCCARAGCTACCCATCAGTTTATAATTCCCAAATTTCATTTCCAAKCATTAGTACAACCAGCAATCATCASATAAACTCCTTTATTTTGAAAAGACAGGTACTGTACTGACCACTGGTTGAGGTTTCTCAGGAAGGCTTCCAGAAGTCTTCATTTTTTCAATCAGACTGATAAAGGCTGTCATATCTCCTACTTTATTTTCATCGCTTGCCTTTTCAGTGGTTGCTGTCAYAGACTGCTCTCTATTTGAATCTGGTTCAATCTCTTCTAGTCTCTTCAGACCTTTGATTCTCATCTCATCTCTTTTAGCTGATGACAAGACTGTGTCTAACATTGGTTTCACATCCAGTTTTGTCTTCTCAAGCATTTCTGACAGACTTTCAGGTTTAGTGTTGGCTTCAATTGGTTTAATAGGTGTAAACATGAACTTCTGGCTGGGAGATGGGGTGTGAGGCGTACTAGGACTTGACACACCTGAATAGAAGTCAATACCAGGGATTGGTAATCAGATAAAATACATTTAGGAAACAATCATGACATTGTGAGTGTAGTACGATTCTTTTTAGTTTTGTTTTCAATTTAAACTAAAACATTCCTTAACTTTTGCAAACAGAGAGAGAAAATGTGTGAAGATGACACAATAGTGGCTGACACAGAGGTGTCCTATCAGAGCACAAAACCTGCTGCTTCAGAAAATTTTGTAGTGGAATAGTTGAATTCTGACTTGGACATTTTGTTGCGACAGTTGCAATTGGAAACTAGATATTCCTCAAAAGTTCATAGTCACACTCAACCTGTGCTCTTGGGAGAGCATTTTTGGAACATACGGTTTCCACAGGCAATTAACACAGCATAATGCCCTGAATTCAAATATTCTATTTTTTGATACACAGATGACGTCAGAGAGATGTAGTGAGAACGAAAAACACATGTCATTAGATAAGTAGAGTGGTATGACTGGTAAAAATGAAACTATTCTGTTTCATAGTATTCGCTTTTTCTAAATAATATATGTAACAACCTGAATATTCAAGGAGTTCTTCTGCACCTGACGATCTTCTGCTGCCATTTTGACTTCCTTGCTTTCCTCCAATACCAAAAAACTGACGGAATCTGCTTTCATTGCTGGCACTTTGTTCCGGCTTTAGGAAAACAATTTATATCAGAAACAGATAGGAATTAACTTTGGGTTCAAGTGAATATTTCTGGTACAAAGCAGTAATTCGTCCTGTATCAAACACATTTCTAAAACAAACTTTCCAAGTGACACAAAACATCATTTAATGAATTCAAACAATTTCAAGCTATTAAAAATCTATTCCAATAAGATTTGTCCTGGATTATGTTGACCAACATTTATAAAATAATCTTGTACAAACAACTGTCGTCCAAATGGTTAAGATCATGTCTCACAAACAAGATGTCAGGTAATTGACCCAAGGCAATCCAAACTGATACAGAATTTTCTACAAACTATGCTTCAAATACTTCAAATACATTAAAATCAAAATACCCATTTATGATTTTGACCAGCAAACCCACCTCATCACCAAGCTGTAAAAAGGAATCAGATGTAAAGAACTGATTGATGTCAAAATCAGCATCATCATCGTCATCATCATCTTGTTTGTCTTTGTTGTCAGCACTTGGAGTTATTTGCTCTTCTTGGTCTTGTTGGTTCTTCTGGTTTTTATCCTTTATGGTAATGGGTGAAGGTATCCCATCACTACTGGTTAAAGAGCCTGTCTTTCCTGAAAAAACATTAAATTTTAAATACATCAGCTGAGAAAGATTTGCTTTTATTTGCCTGAGCTTCAGCCCTAAGTAGGCATCTTGAGAGTGACAACATTACAATGACAAGARTATGTCCTCATCAAAGCAAAGAGAAAACAATTTTCATGYTTGTTAAAGAAGTTCTCAGAACACAGTTTTGTTTGTTATTTCAGAGAAAGACTATCACTGTCTTGTTTTAAAATGATTAGTGTTCATTCTTAGATATATAGCCAATACCTCTTTGCCTTGAAATGCTCTCCTTGTTAAACCCTCTCAGCTCTATGGTTTCTGAGATACTTGTTGGCCCAAAGGTCATCCATTCTGGATCCTCATCTTCATCATGGCGTCTTCGTCCTATGAAAGTGAAAGTAAAATTAATGATCATTCTTATAAGAAAACAAAATAATATTGCCACCCTTAATGGATATTTTGCATACATATSTGAAAATTTGTTGATTAGTTAGGTTTTAAAAACACAATTACAATGTTGTAATGGGAAGTTCCAGAAAATATCCGTACCATACGACGGGCGGCATTTCGGAAATCCAGAGGGGAGGGGGGGTCATCGATTTGGGAATTCCAAAGGGGAGGGGGACTGAATGATTTCGGAAATCCAAAGGAGGGGGAAAGGGAATTATAGACATATTATGTCTTATAGAAAACGACCTTCGACACCTTCAACCGAGACTTACGTTGATCACGATCTAAGAGTTGAAAAAATCACTATAAAAACGTTTGAAAACCACGACAAAAACATCTAAAACTGTATATGAATTCAAAATGCGTAAATTGAAAGCAATGCAGCTTATTCTAGAGTCATTTTAACAAAGTTTAAAGCATCCGCGTTGGTCCGTGATCGCCGATTGTAAACAACATATAGTCAGCGGTTTCTTGACAGAAATTAATGGCTTCTCGGTCGTCTTGGTCGCAGATCACCATGCGTAGTTTATTTTTTCTTGCGAGTCTCACTACTTTGAACACTTGTCAATAGAAATTAACTACACAAGGTATAAGATACGTAATTCCAACAGCAATGATTTTTGCGTGTTTTTAAGCACTTCCACGAATCTAGGCGATGCAGTGTTTTCGAACGATCTGACAGTTTTACGATTGCGTTCTTCAAAACAGTGCTTGTTTTGAAGAAAATATTTATTTTCATTCATTTCCAAGGGGGGATATTTATTTCCTAGGGGGGCAAAACACGATTTTGGAATTCCTAAGGGGAGGGGGAGATACCCGATTTCGGAATTTCCCAAGGAGAGGGGGGGTCGAAAATCGATGCCGCCCGTCGTATGGTACGGATATTTTCTGGAACTACCCAATGAGAGATTTCCACCATAAAGAATAATGACAACCCTATCTTCCATAAAGTACGCTTTCTTACACAAACTAGCTCCAGGAATAAAAAAAACACAATCCAAAAAATATATAAGTAACTGTAAATGTTTCAGGCCATTTTTAAATTCATATTGAAGATGACATTGTCAGTTACTTATATACATCAACTGACCCAGGCTTCCAAGMCATGCATTTACATGAATGCCTGAGGATTAGTGTAAATTTAAACAAAATCTTACCTCGCTTATAGTTGTAACTGTCATCATCCCTGCCTCTCTTCTGTTCTTTGTCATTTCTTTCCCAAGGACTCGCCTGTCTATCTCCATTCTATAACAACAGTTTCAAAATGTTTGATATTCAATTAAACTAAAATATCAATGCCTGATGTAAATGAAGATACAATCCCTATCTTGATATCATGGATTTCTAGACAAATAATTACTATAAAAAGCACATTATGGTACCTTAGGTACATTAATAAAAACAGTTTTACTAAACTGTAATCAAACTGTAACCCTGSAGATTTGATTTTTGTGCTTGGTGACTGTTCTGTTTTGGTTACAAGATACTGACTAAACAGCCACCAAAATAAAAAAAAACTATTATTAACAACATCGCTTCACAGATTAAGTGTCTGTGCTATATTGTTTAGTTACAAAATTCTCCTACCCTGTTTCTATCGCGCATGTTTGATCTATAATCCAGGGATCTCGATCCTCGTCCCACTCGGCCAGTCAATCTGTTTCTGCCTTCTCTAGTATCTCTCTCAATTGTCCTACTTATCATGCTTTTTGTTCTTTCTTGTTGTAATCCTCGTTCTGGTGCACTCTGATGAACATGGCATCCTTGACCAAAACTCTGACGCTGTGGGCTCAGCACAATACCATCTTCAATCCTACATAGATGATTMATTATCGTCGTCAAAAACATATATTACTTCAATGAACACTGAAAACTTCTTAAACTACTTAAATGAATGTGATGTTGTATTTACAAACAAGAAAAAAACTTGTTTTGACTAAATACAAAACATCCTCTCATGGATTATCTCCCTAACATTCAAATATTCCCAAAATAACAACTTCCTACACAAAATATTTTCACATTTTTGCTGCCAAAACCCCATATAATTCATTTAATGTACATATATTCATCTTTATAAATGCAGAATTACCCATCTTTCTTAGTACTGTTACAATTATAGTTTTTGCCGTTCTCCACTTATAAATATTATTTTTTCTTCCTTTCCTTTAAAAAAAAAAAAAAAATATTTGTGCTTTCATGCTGTTTGTTCAATATTAAGTAAACAAGATTCACATAAAAACTCACTGTATCTGACGCTTGAAGTCCTCTACTGGTGAGGCACATCTCTTTGCACTAGCTGGTGTATGGTGCCATACTTCTGGGTCCCAAATACCATTTCTACAAAAAGGAGAAAAAGATAAAAAAAACAATTTCTATCAATAAAAAATATTTGGTTGAACTTATAAATACAAATGGGAAGCATTTCCTATCAAACAAGGTTGCAATTATTAAATAACAAAAAGAAATTATAACGCGTTTTATGATTTCAATAAACTAAATATAAGCTTTAAAGTTTCAAGAGAATCCACTAAATTGATTCACTGTCGTTGAAAGTTCTTACCTGACACAATCTTCCTCAGCAAATGCTGGCCATAGTTTCGAAGCGGGACTGTMCCTCAATTCGTTCAAAACATCCTTTTTTGAGAAATACAGTAGTAATTACTTTGCCCTCATTGTGAATCACTATGAAATGTTACATCTGAATTGAACGAGGTTTTGTTTCTCACCCTAGTGTATATAACACGTGTCTTCTTTATCTCTTCTTTGCAATTTGTCATTTCATCGTCTCCTGGTGAATCTTCCTCATTTTCAGCCTCTCCTGAACAAGAGAGCACACGATAAGAAATTCATCTTTCTTAATTTTAGTGCCACAAGTACAAGTTTGCTATTTTGGGATGTGACATTTGAATGGGAAACTTCGCCTATTTTTTCTACGCCTATAATTTCAGGCACAGCTATTTAAACTTATAACTATATATCTTGAGTCTTATTCTATTAAATGAATTTTTAACACTTTCTACCTGGTTTCCTGACCCCGCTAACTGTCTTGCACTCTTTTGGCCCTCGTGTAAATGCATCAACCTTTTCTAAAGGCTCCTCTAGATCCATTTTGCCTCTTACGAGGTGGAAAATTCAAGGAGCCTTTTGAATTGATAACTTAGTTGTTATTTGCCTTGTTACTTGAGCAGTGGAATGGGTTGTACGCGTGTAATACTGAGTTTCTCTGCACTCAGTTTAACTGCATCAAGCAGCCATGTTTGAAATCGCAAAAAAATAATGCATTCGCTATTTATTGTGCGCGAAGGCGCAGGCGCAGTTAATTACCTCGATATCATGTAAGCTTAATGGGCTACCTGTGGCTACATCAGGAAGTACTATGATTGGGGGAATCATCCAGGTTGCTATTTCACAATCGTTAGTAACTCATGACTCAATGGAATTTCTCCTCAATTGTCATTCACTAAACACAAAGACAAAAAGTCTCGACRCTATGGATTGTTCAATCATATCAACCTCTAGATAGAAAATATTCTTTGACTTGGTGGCAGATACGCTTTTCTAAACCTCATAACTCAAGCTTTAGAATATGCTCAACATACTGCACTTAATTGCTTATTGTGTTAGCTTCACGTTGAAGTATCAAGAATGAAATTAGGATTTCATCCACATGATGTAGAGGGATAGTGCTACTATATACATAGGTCCTAACTTAAATAGATAAGAAATCTGTTTGTAAATTGGATGACAGTATTACTTTGTTCTAAACAATAGCTCCAAAAATAAATAATATCAATGCCTTTCCTTTGTTCATGCCCCATTTAATATAAAACAAAATCAAGACACAATCCGGTTTATTCATATATATATAATATATTCTACATTTCTCACACAGCTTTTAAATATGCTTGGAAATCTAATAGACAGAAATGCAGACTTGTAAACAAAGCTTAATTCATTTATTATAAAAACAGTCGAAGGCAATCATGTATTCATATCAGTTCATGTTTTTGCACTCTTCAATTTATTTGTTGACAAACGCTTCTCCTTTTTTGATGTTCTTGTGTAGTTCTGGAAGTACCTGAAATAAAAAGAAAAWTATTACAAAAATAGAGATCAAATTTGAAARTACATAAAACACACCAATTATTTCCTGCAAGAAGTTGTCAATATTTCAAGAAATTGTGTACATGTGTATGTTGTAAAATTGTACAGTAGCATTAAAATTATGAGTGATTATTACTTCACATTATTTTGTGATATTGCTTTTACCTCTTCCATCTTTTTCTTCTCATAATCAGACAATTCTCCCATTCCCAAATTCTTTGCAACACCATCTTTCTGTAATGTTAAAAGTATAGCGAGTATAACTTTGTACTTTTATGATGATTAAAATCATCAATGTGTTTACAAAACTTACCCCAAGTTCAAGAGGTGTGGCAAAATACRTAGAGTCTGTTACATCRGATTTGATGAATGCACACTGTACAACACCTGATTTGCCACTGAGGGCCTCTAATACCTGGTACATACAATCAATAAAATACAGCTTCTGTTAACAAAAACCAACAACAACAAACAAAACAGAAAACACACAAATATCAAGGTGTCCTCGCCGATTGACACATCACCACATAAGTACACATCTGGATTTCTTGGRGCACTGTCTGATATCTCGCAGTGAATTAGCATCATGACTTTCTGACCATAATCAAAAAATATAAAAAATCTATAAAAATAAGAAATTTCCCAGATACTTACAGAGCAAACAAATTGATTSCCAGCAAAAGCCATTGAAAGGGTAGCTGATCCCTAGAAACAAYAATTAATTGAAAGTTAACTGATGTACTTTTATAGGTTTAATTTTAGCAATAAATAATACACCCTAATATCCTAATACACCTTTATACAAACTTTTGCTTACTAGATTATCTCAGTTACCTTATAAGCAGAGAAGAAAGAATCCTTCGCTTTCATTGTATATTGACAAAAAAAATAATAATTGCATATTACAAAGAACATTTCATACTTACTGCGCCAGCTTTGGCATTCACTACTTCTGTACCAGCATTTTGAATTCGATCAGTGAGTTTTTCAATYTCATCTTGAGTGAAAGATACTTTGGGAGAAACCTTTGAGAATGATACAGCAATGAAATGTTAAAATCTTAGAATAACATCTAATACATTTTAGGACATTCTTTTATTTACACTAATGCAATTCTATAAGAAATTTAAAAAATGATCAGCTCCTACATTTTAGATTTATCATGGAATTCTGCATGGAACGTCAAGTTGTCCAGGAATTTCCCCCTAAATCAGACAACCTCTGGAGATTTACAATTTTCTCATCTTTTTTTGTTTCATCCAATTGATGTTTATAATTTAATAAATGAAACCAATGCTATTTATACCTGTGACAGGAGTGGTAAGATRGTAACTCCAGAGTGGCCACCAATTACTGGTACACTGACTTCATCTACATTCAGCCCCTAAAACACACAAAAATACAATTTTGTAAAAATAATACACATTGATACATCTTTGAGAATCGATTAATTATTATTAATGCAAAAACGTCTACAGCGTAAATGCATATATGAAGATTTCTTGATTATTATTTAAAATATATCATTGGATATATCTACACCAGTCTAAAATATCAATTTAATCAAAAACTGTAATAATGGCTAAAAAAGGGATTTCATTTTAAAGATTAAAATTCAACATCAAAATCAATATACCTTTGCTTCAGCTACAAATGTATTTGCACGTACAATGTCCAAAGTGGTTACACCAAGAATTCTGTCACGAATAATAGCAAATAAAATAGAATAACATTATGAGATATTAAGTTTTGTTTATTTGACACAAAGARAGAACTACTAGAATTGTGCCTTGATATGATAAAGAAATCCCTAGGGTTAGGGAAGAGGATTAAAACCAGTATTACTTTYCCCTCCCCAACCAAAAATTCAAAGCACAATTGACTACAGATAAAGATAAGACAAAGGCAAGTTTAATTGTTAAGCACCTTGATGGATCATAGACGCCTGCCTTTTTGTAAGCTTCRCTGGCAATTGGGACTGTTGAATTCACCTAGAACATTTTTAAAACAAAAATAATGTCAGGATAGGTTATAAGGTAAAACAACTTATAAAATAGATTAAAAATAAATGCAAAAAAATTACTTACAGGATTAGAGATGATGCAAATAATGGCCTTGGGACAATATCTGTAAAAGATTTAACAGGAGTTTATTATCATTAATTAATTAATCTCAATAATACCATCATGATGATAGACAAAAGTTGAAAACTTGCTTTTTTAGGATCTTCCTTAACCTTTTAGTCCCAATTGTACATATTTGTACGATAATCGACCAAGCTTAATAATGCAAGTCTAGGGGCTCTTGTGCATGAGTTTGACTTAAAAAAAACACTTAAAAACCAAGTTTTGCTGTGTTTTGAACGAGCTGTTGGCTATTCAAAGACACAAGCAAAAACTTAGCAGGCATCCCTCAAGAGTTTGAGTGTTTGGCTATGTAAATGGTCATCAGTTGCCTTGACAACTGTGAATTCAGTGCTGAAATCATTTTTTGAAACTTTTCACCTTTAAAACAGTTAAAAATTCCCCAGAAATTTGGGAATTAAAGCGTTAATCAAGATTTAATTGTCATGTACCAATTTCATATAAAAAAACAACTTTTCTGTTTCCATAGCCTGATTTTCAGACGGGGCCTGGGTCCTACGCTTCTCTCCGCGTAGGACCCAGGCCCCGTCTGAAAATCAGGMTACTGTTTCCAAAGATGAAACGGTTTTTGTACAAGTATAAACTTTGTCAGCACCAAGCAACTCCTTGCATTTCTAATTTGCACTTTGAAAATCAATGAAGAAGGCATTTCATGAGGCTTTGTTTCATGACAAATAAAATGATGATTATTGATTGGAATGTTTTATTCATGGMTTTACAAACTTACTTAGCACATGCCTCTGCAAGATTTTGCACAATRGATGCATTGGTATTGAATAAGTCATCACGTGTCATGCCTACAACAAATAAGTAAAGATGTTCTCATATCAATTTTCTCCAAAGCGCATGGACGGAACTATCCAGTCAAAAAGATGTTATATTTGGACTTTTTAATAGATCACCATTTCTYTTACATGTAACATTGTGCTTTATAAGTAAAAGTTGATCTAAAATTGAATTTATRGTTAATGTCATTTCTCACCAGGTTTTCTGGGAACACCTGCAGGAATAGCAACCACATCACATCCTTCAAGTGCACCTTTCAATTCATCAGGTCCTTGGTGGCTGGTGACCTGTAATTAATAATCATCAGTCCGTAACCCCAACACTTTAGAAATTCCAGAGGAGCTCTTAATGCATAAATCCCTGTTCGTTATCCCAGTCAGTAATGATGTTAGCTGCATCATTATCCCGCATTCCCTAGGGTTTGTGGCTTCAACATTGACATTTTGATAATACRTTACATAATACATGCACATAAAGAATTTTTTGTCAACTGGTAATAAACAATTTCAACATTATTCAGTTGTCATACCTTAGAATTTGTTGAAATATGACTCAAATCAGCAGCAACACCTACACAAAAAGACGAAAATTATGAAGTCAATCAATCTGGCGAGTCAATGTCCTCAGTAGTAGCACTTTTCAGTGCTAGTTTTGCACAATTAGCATCTTTTTTGCATATCAGAAATGTATAGCAGGTCAAATAGCAAATGTACAAATCAAAATGAATAATACCTGGAGTGTTAACGATATCGTACAGTGCAAGATGACTGACCAGAGGTGATTGCTTTAAAAGAAGAGACATTGGTTGTCCAATTCCACCAGCAGCTCCAAGCACAGCTACCTTTGATTGGCGCTATAATAATAGCCATTACATCGATTAACAAAACAGATTTTTKGATTGGCAAACAACGAAGTACCGATGTTTAATTTGTAACCGGGAACCGGTAAAAATGCTTCGTGACGATCAAATTCAACTTTCTCGAAATAATGCTCTCTCACCTGTGAAGACGAAGAAAATTGTCTTGATAGCCGGGAAAAGGCATTTGTTCCTTGCGACCGTAAAGCAATTCTGGAAATCATTTTGGTATGTTGTAATTTTCTTTACGTTTTACAACAGACGTTGCCTTTAAAGTCCCTTCGGTCAAAAACTATCAAGTGAAAGACAGTGCGCATGACCGTTAGGGGTGACGTCGCGGTTCAGGAAAATCGCAGCTTCACACAGATTTGTCACGCAACCTGCACACACGACTGTGAAAGTGCGCACTCGAAGTATCATGTAATCTTCATCATCTTTTGTTTCCAAAAGTTTTTGCTTATAGCCTGATGGTCCGTGGATCTAACGGCCATTCAATTTTCGATTAAATACAAAATTGAAAAATGCTTCCATTATTGTATTTTCTTTTTTGTAAAGAATTTGATTTAGAAATATTGATATTTGGAATACAACTTTTGCTTACGGTTTCAGTTCAAAAATACAAATTACTTTATGTCGATCAAAAATTGCTTCGAACCGACGGTCTGAAGTTGATGTCATTTTTTTGTTTAAAAACAAAAAAGCTTATCATCGACCATTGTTGTTATTTCAAAGACGAGCGCATTTACCAATGGATAAAATCAAAAACCAATTTTCTAATTAGTTTTGATTAAAAAATACTTTCGACTTGGGAGAAAAAAACGACTCACTCTGGGTAGCTCAGGACTCTTTGGCCTCCATGAACTGACAACTAGGGGAGGGCCTAGTCCAGCTCTCGTTATCTCTACGGGAGGGGAAGGGCAAAATATTTTGCTTGTACAGCGGCCTGCACGAGTTGTCCAGCCATATTGGATTAATATTTCAGTATTTTATTCTTTACGACGGCTTTATACATCTTTGGTAAGAGGTGTATGTACCTAAATAGCATGATGCCTACAATATTTAAGCAAGATGGACAAAGAGGTCTTTGAAGGCTAGGGGTTTCTTTGTGATTCTGTGAAACATTCGATCGATCAGTCAGGATGTCAACGAGAACACAACTTATAGAAAGCTTGCAGGAAATCTTCTTTCATTGATGGAAAAACTGAAGTAATACAGAACAAATTGATTTTCACTAGTTGGAATCCAAGCAAACTATACGTATGTATACGTACATGTCAGGTAAGCTTTGGGTGGTAGGATACAGTAAAACCTTTATGCTTGGTTCATACCTAATGGTATGAGTGTTGATAATTTTGTTATAAAACAGTATGCATGGTAAAATTAAACTTTTATCTCTAAAGGATACCAGCTTTAAAGAAGTAGCACATCAATGTGTGAAAAACTTTGAACTGTTTACTGCTAAGTAGTTATCAATTACCCTTGGTGACAAGGTTTGGAATTGACTCTTCCTCATAGTTATATCAATTGCCAATAAAAGAAGTGATGAGAAACAGTACATTGTACATCTATGTCCCAAACTCCTATACCCAAGGCAGTGCTAAACAGCAAGAAATTTAGCATAATTTAGCAGAATATAAGTAGTGTTTTTTTTTTGTTATATGCTAGGCCATTTGTATGATGCCTTGTGCATTTTCATTGCTTTTCAAGAATGGCCAAGAATTTTGTTAATCCATCTGGAAATTAGTAAAACAATTAGGACTTATTTAAGTACAAAATTGGTAGTTGTAGTTAATGGGGTTACAATGCATATCGTCCATGTTATGTTTTTTTCTATGCACCCTAGTGTTAAGTGATGGACATGATAAGCTTTCATTTTCTGCTACTAATATGGAAGTATGGTGTTTGGCTTGTGCAGCACCTGATTGCCTTTTTATTGCCAAATTCATTTAGATCCTAACAGGTCATAAATTCTTTTTGATAACAGTGTTATGTTCTTCTCTTTTCAGTTTATCTACATTGTGTAACACTGGGTTTTAGAGTTATTTTCGATAGAGGCACAGGAAGCCCAAGCCATAACTTTGAATAGACTTAATGATTATATGTAGGTCTGTCTACTCAAGTCATTGCACTTTATTTAGTTTTTTTTAATGAAAAATTCAAGCTATAATTATTATATGTTCATATGCATGTGGAGATTTGTAGGATCTTTTCCTGGTCCATCCAAAAAGGAAAGAATCTGTGAACAAAGATGACAAATTGGGTAAGGGGGCCTGGAATTTTTAAAATGACTTAACATAGTGTAATTAGATAATTGATTGCAATTGACATTCATTTCGTGAGAATATGCACAAGTGTGGTTAAATAAACTCCACTTGTTCCCTTTAAACACCCACTATACATGTACATTACAACTTAACTGTAGCAAGTGATAAACTTTGTAATTTTATTGATCAATCTGGTACTTTAAAAATACTGTGAATAAACTGAATTGAATTTAACTGAAATCAACATTGGCTTGATAGTATGTTTAAGGGGCTTGAAAATGGGCAGTGACATATGATATATGGTTATATAGTCCCGTATCTGGAAGCAAGCTGGTGTGGAGTTGTTATATCTTTGATTTCCTCATTTTTGTTATAGCCTTCMCTTTAAAAAATGCAGACATATAGCCAGAAGATATTCTAGACGATCGGAAATTTTGGTATTGCATATTTTTGTTACAGCTTAAAAAAACACAGGGCTCCCACACAAATGACTTGAGATTATTAGATTTTATAGGTTGTGGTAATCAAAGTCTTGTTATATATTGTCTTGAAGGGAAGTCAATCATGAATTTCATTGTCAGTATATGTTACTTTAAGTCGAGTTTACATTTATCAGTGTGACTGTAAATAATTTTGAAATACTGGCCTTCTCGCTCGTGGAAAAGGCCAATTCTGCTTTCGTTTGACTGGACAAATCGAAACCTTTCTGCGGCAAAGTTTTTATTCTGCGTAATAAAAACAGTCAGCTGAGAGTTGTTATTTATGCTTGATTTTCTCGTTTTTTATCAGTGTGACTGTACACTATAATAGTAGTGGCCTTCTCGCTTGTTGAAAAGGCCGATTTTCTGCTTTTGTTTCACCCGCAATTAAAAGTTAAAGTCACTGTTGTCTTTGAAAGTCGCGTTCTTTGCATTTTTGTGGGGGATTAACGACACCAAAGACAAGTAAATCCCTTGCTTTTTCTCAGCGGGAACTGTTGAAAACATGTCATCAATTACGATTTGCTGGACAAGAAAACTGATGCTACACACCATGTACACACTGAGCTTCTCAGTTTACGACGAAGTTTACGACTGAGTTTACGATGAAATTTGATTTAGCTATAGGCCCCTTGCAGTTCGTGGGAATGCAGTTCCAACTGGAGGACAAAACAATGGATTCTAGTTCCCAAGAGGGCAAAAATCTGYTGTTTTGTCCTMCAGATGAAGCTGGTTTGAGAAATATTAGGCTTTGTATTATTTATATATTTCAACACTATGAAATAGAAAGAAATAACTATTAGTAGTAGTACTATCATTAGTATTTTCACAAACATAAGCTAGTTCAAACTATTTCCATAGTYGCGTAAAGTTATCGTTTAGCAGCATGATTGTGATATCAAATATATCTTTTGAATCCAAGCTGTTTCTGTACTACAGAATCGTAGTATATTGTGTTCTATACGCACGGATCTCTTTTGAACGGATTGCTAGTGCCGAATGAAAGCATTTATTACATGGTTTTGCTGCTAAAAGAGATCGCATAAAAGAGATCGCTAAAATAGATTCACTACAAAAAAACACTATCAAATGAAAGTCTTCGAAGCAAAAGAGGGTCCCCTAGACCACGCCGCGATACGTTGATACTAGCCTCTACCTACAGTTGAAATTGCGAATTACCTGCAAAGCGAGTACTAGCGTACGGGCATTCCTTGAACGTCGGGGCGCCTATGRATAGGTCTTTGTTTATCAAGGAACTCACGGTGGCTTGCTKGGTTGCATGGGAGGGAATTACCAGCCCCAAGACCATTCACACGCCGCCGCGCACATGATAACCCCTAGCTTTGGCCAAGCTGCTACACMGTKTATAAAACATGKCTTTTAAGTGACAACAGGATCGTCTAATCTTCAATGTGGGATAACTTTGAACTTCCGTCCACTGTGCAAGCATGCGCACGCATACTTCCTAACAAAAGATTTAATTAAAATACCACTTTCTTTAGATGCTTTCTTAAATGCGCAGCTCCTCAGATTTCTTAAAAAAAAACGTCTCTTTAAATCAATCGCTTCTATATTAACATTACATTATATTTTTATATAATAGTTTCCAGAGTCTACAACGTTTGTTATCAAAATGACATTTTTTTGTCATTTTGCTATTTAATTGCGTATCATAGCTTTCATACAATATTATTTATTGCTTTTTATAAACTAATAACGAAACCACCAAAACTCAAGCATCTTGTTGACAGTTTGGTGTACCGATTTGCACACGTTTGCAACACCTCCGCTAAAAGGATTAAGTCTAAACCGGATGTAACTATAGCAACTAGGGAATCAAACTGTTCACTCTAAATCTCGTTGGAGGCTTCTTATGACTGGAGAGATTTTTTYCTGCGGCAAAGTATTTTTTCGGCGTAATAAAAACAGATTTTTTATATTTGATTTTCTTGTTTTAATCAGTGTTATTGTACACTTAATACTGGCTCGTGGAAAAGGGCAATTTTCTGCACTTAATTTCGTTTGACTAGGACAAATCGAAACTTTTTTCTGCTGCAAAGTTTTTATTCATCGTAAACAACTTGATGCTCATACATAATGAGGATACTTCTGCACATTCTTCACGTTTAATCGTTTATCATTGAGATAAAAAAAGCCAGGGTCCCAGATTGGTGCCATGGGGTACATCATCGGGGACAGGTTCTTATTCAAATTAGTGCATTGTACGCGTTGAAAGTTTTTGTCAGAAAGCCTCCAATCCAAAAAGCAAATCCCCCTGGGGAATAGGAACCCCTAACCMTAACCCTAGGGTGGATGATCTTGCATGAATGCTATTCCACCGAATTGGTTTGAATCGATAACTTTAACCCCAACCCTAACCCTAGGGCCAAAAGTATGCATGACAAACAATTCAACAGTGTTCAGAGACTGTTGGATGTCGACCTATATGAATGATTACTATCATATGCCGGTTTCAGTTTGTCTTCCCCTGCTCTCTTTGTAATAAATAATRTTACCTTATAATTAAGATTTAACGGTTTGGAAGACGTTAAGTATATAAAAAACACAGGAGGCCCTAAAACGGTCCCCTGTGCGGATAGAGATCACGTCATAGAGCAGTCATCAAAAAGGAAACCATTTATCAATGACTATAATTATGTCAATACAGACTCGCACCAAAGCCATATGCAGTAAATTAATTGAAATGAAAATAAATTTTGCACGTTGGATAGGAAATTCTTTCTGGTAAGACAGTAAAAGCTTTTTTTCTAAATAATTTCTGTCTTAACTAGTGTGTGCAAAATGGGCGTGGTAAGATAAAGAAGTCCAAAACAGTCCTCGTTTCCTAGTTAGAGCTTAGATGATGGTAGCTTAGAAAAAGATGTCTGAAATAGTTCTCTTGGCTGTCAAGGCAAAGTGAGTCTGAAAGGGGCCTGAAATCTTCCCACTTGGCAAGTGAGTCAAAAGCAGAATTGTTCATTGGACAAGGGGGACTGTAATAGACCATGACAAGCTAGTGAAAATCAATGTTGTACATTTGATTATAAGGGTGTTTAGAACAACCCCTTGAAYTAACAAGTGAAAATCAATATTGTACATGGAATAAGGGGGACTACCCAGAATAGTCTCCTCAGTCTAGATGCCAGCGTAGCCACTGGGAGAAGACGAGCGGGCTCTATTGAAACGTCTRCTGGCCAAACAACAACAACAAGAAAAAGAGAAAAGGAGCAAAGGACGTCATTGTAGACAGGGTCTCAATGGGGTTAACCGACT